GACTTTCTTTAGAGAGAGGAGCTCAAGGTACAGGCCAGGACTGCTGGTTCTGCTGTTTATCTAGCAGATATACACAGCTCTGATTTTTTTTTTTATTTCTCCAGATGTGGTCCCAGGTTACCCCTCCCTTTCCCAACAGTATTCTACACATTGTGTGCTTAGGCTCAGGCCTAAAAGCTGTAGACTTAGTTCTGGCATAGACCTTACCTTCCTCAGTTCATTGGCCTTGTGATTCATCTCTGTGGGAGAAGCTGAGCCAAGACTTTCAGGTGACTTTGTTTAAGTCTCAGGTGGATGTGGAAGAGCTGTGTTTAGAGCGGCTGCCCCATGTTCATCAGTGCTCACCTCCCTGCCCCGGAGAGTTTGTCACAGGCCCGTTCATGCCCTGCCCCATGTCTGGGTCCAGACGTGTGACCTTGCAGTGCTGCGCTGCGTCAGGAACAGGGATGAGCTCCCTCTGCTCCTGTTGGAAGACAGGGTCTGGGGGGAGAAGAGTGATGATGAGACCCGGTTTCAGATCAGTTTCATCTTGAAACCAGCGGCACAAGCCTGCAGTGCCAGGAAGCATCTGGAAGAAGTGGTAATGCTCTACCCAGGGCTTCTCGTATACCAGCCTCTCGGTGACTCATGCCTTGCAGGGAAATCTGCTCTTGTGCCTACAGGTGTCTCTGCAAGTTTCTTGGGGTAGGTCAGCTTGCCGGTGAGTTCCCCAGCCTCCGCCTCCCGCATCAACCACAGGACACCCCTATGATAGTCCTTTCCAAATGCAGATTGCACCAGCCTTCTCTTTTATGCTCTTTGGTCCTGTGAAGCCACTTTGCCCTTCAGTGCTTTGTCCAGAGGCGAAGCCAATGGCGTGGCTAAGCCCCGTGCCCTCTGAGTTTCTCTGTGGTGTACAGGGAAACCTGGAGAACCTATTCTGGGCGAGGTGCGGTGCTCAGTGTTGAGTGAGCATTAGCCCGTTCACCTCCCAGTAGCCTTACCGGACGGGCATTACTCCCGATTGCTCACAGAATAGGGATTTAGACCTGAGACCTTCATACCCCAATCTGCATCGCCATCACTTACTGCCTTTAAGATTTGAAATCTGGCCCGGCTTCTTCCTAGTTGGAGCTGGCTGTTCCCTGAGGCACTTGCGCCTCGTACAGCCCCTTGGTTTCTGAGTGGGAGTAGTAACGCCCTCCCTGCAAGTTAAGTTTCCGAGGGTTTGGATAGGAAATTACCTCGCTCTGTGTTTCAGGCAGGGTGGGGCTTTGCAGCGTGTTCCTGTCTGACTCACGCTGCCGAATGTGGGTTAGAGCTGATGGGGCCGAGCCCGCTGATGCAACTGGAAGGCACAGTCTGAGTGCAGGCACGTACCTCGGGGTACAAGACTATTGACTTCTTGTTGGCACCATTTCCTGTAAGAATAGGTGGACAGTCTATTACTGTTGTGCTACAGATATCTGGAACCACATAACAATGGAAACAAATGAGCAAAAGGGGCGGTGAAGTGTGCAGTACATTCCTGGGGGGCAGATTTTGTAGACAGCAGGAAGAGGGTTTCTGGGTTCCTGGCAACTCTTGGAGTTTGGGAGATGAAGGCTTCTGTGTAATAGGATGTCAGTCCATTAACCTCCTGCTGGGTGGTTATGGAGGAGAGGAGTTGAGCTGTTCAGCGTCCTCATTAAGGGAAATCGCTGACAGACTTATCTGGCCAGGCTTCCCGCTGAAGACCTTCCCTCAGGAATGGGAAAAGTGGCTGCCTTTTTATCATCATTGGCAAAGCTAACGCGTTTGTTCCTGTGAATGGGGATTCAGAAAGGTGTACTCTGTAAGTCTCATTCCTGTTCTCTCACTGCTGTCTTCCCATCAACCTTTTGGGTTAGAAGTGTTTTTCAAAAGTAATTAAAAGATTCACATGTTGCATTTCCGGCAGTGACAGCCTCCCCAGAGAGCTGCCTCTGGGCAAAGGCTCTCCTTCATCCTTCTCCAGAAGAGAAGAGGGAACACAAGAAATGCCTGGTGCAGAACCCCAATTCCTGTTTCATGGATGTGATCTTATTGATAGAGATTTATTTAACTAGTCCGGATTTCTGCTGTTACAGTTAATGAGTTAGTTCTTGGTTTCCTTCCAGTCTTTTTTCTGTACTTAATGTATGCAGTGCTACATTCTGTTTACTTTGTAGAATAAATATTTACTTTGTAAATATTTTGCACCGCTGCATAGATAATGCCTGGCTTAGCCTGGCTTTATTTCTGCTATTACAGTGATTTAACCTTTGCCACATATCTGTCAAGTGTAATCAGAGGATGAGACCTGAAGCTGTGTGCTGGGCGACAGCATGGCCTCCCTGGATTCTCGCTGCCCCTGGGACCCTCTGGAACCGAATTAGACCTGCCTCCCTCTCCCCCTCCCCTCTGGCCAGGCATGTCACAACCCGACTCCTCAGACTCCTCAGCCGGATGTTGTTGGGGAAGCAGGCAAGTTTCCAAGCAATCTTCCTTTCTCAGGGGCTCCTTCCAGCCTTCCCACTAAGCTGCCTGCCTCTGTGTGTGAGCTGCTGGGACTGTGGGGAGCTGAGGGGTGCTGTCTGCTTTGAAGCCCCCTCTGCCCTCTCCATTCACCAGCTCTCACCCCAAAGATAGCCACTGTCTTAATTTCTTTCATCTAGGTTGCTTTGAAGTCTTTGAACTTCATGTCCATGGAATCACACTCACCAGTTCCCTTGCCTCTGGCCTCTGTCATCAGTCTTATGTCGACAACATTCACCCATGCTGTCAGCTGCCCTTGGAGTTGATTCCTTTTGCTGTGGAGCATAGCACAGTGTTCTATCCATTCTACCTGGTGGACATGTGCAGTTCCTGGCTGTTACAGATAGTGCGACTGTGGGCATGATAGCCCATGTCTTGGCGACTGTTTTGATTGGATCTGTACCTGCAAGTGGAGTTGCAGGGTCTTAGGGGACTGTGTATATTCAGTTTCCATAAATGCTGCCAAATGGTTTTCCAAAGTGACTGCCGCATTTACACTCCGGTGGCTGACTTCACTTTTTTTAAAGATTTATTTATTTGTGCATACAGAACTGGGGTACAGGCCAGAGGCTCAGGGACGATGAGAGGCTTCACCAGAGACAGAGCGGGGAACAGAACAGGCAGATGGACAAAGTACACTGCTGAGGGGAGCAGCGGGCGGGTCAGGAGAGGTCTGCCGCACCATGTGGTCACCTCCGGGGTAGGCGGGAATCGAACTCATGCTGAAGCAGCTTTAGATTCTCAGTGCTGTGTTTTAACCCGCTGCACCACCAGGGAGGGCCCAGACTTCACTTTTTAAAAATGATTTATTTATTTACACATGCAAGGGCTGGGGTACAGGCCAGAGGTATAGTGTGGTGAAAGGATTCACCAGAGGCAGCGTAGGGAGCAAAATAGGCAGATTGACTGAAATACACTGCTGAGGGGAGCAGCGGGTGATTCAGGAGAGGTCTGCTGCGATATGTGGGTCAGACCCCTGGCCGGGGACGGAACTCATGCTGCAGTGGATGTGGATAGTGCTGTGTTTTAACCCCTTGTGCCACCAGGGAGGCCCCTATGTTTTCTTTTTTTTTAAAGGTTTATTTATTCATACAGAACTGGCATACAGGCCAGAGGTGCAGGGGGTGAGAGGATTCACCAGAGACAGAGTGGGGAAAAGAACAGGCCAACTGATGAAGCACATTGCTGAGGGGAGCAGCAGGCAGGTCAGGAGAGGTCTGCCACACCATGTGGATCACCTCTGGGGTAGGGGATCAATCACCTCTGGGGCCAGGGATCAAACTCAGACTGAAGCAGCTTGGCCAGCATGCAGTGCTGTGCTTTAACCTGCTGCGCCACCAGGGGGGGCCCATCTTCTCTTCTTTTTTTTTAAAGATTTATTTATTTATTCATAAAGAACTGGGGTACAGGCCAGAGATGCAGAGGGTGAGAGAATTCACCAGGGACAGAGAGCCGAACAGGCAGATCGATGAAGCTGAACAGGCCGACTGATGAAGTACCCTGCTGAGGGGAGCAGCGGGCGGGTCAGGAGAGGTCTGCCACGCCATGTGGTTACCTCCGGGGCAGGCGGGGATCGAACTCATGTGGAAGTGGCCTAAGCTTCTTAGTGCTGCGCTTTAACCCGCTTTGCCACCAGGGAGGGCCCACCATCTTCTCTTCTTTTAAGGATTTTTTAACAAGAATAATAGCAGCAATGATAATAAACTTAAGACTATAGGACAGTTTAAAAAGGACAGTTAGGAGGGGTGATGACCCTCCTAATGATGACATTTCCATCATACCACCCTCCTGGTTGTGTTCGGTCAAACGATGAGCACCAGGGCCCGGCCAGAGTGTGGTGGTGATAGGCCAGGTGTGGCCTCGGCCTGTGTCCCTGATTTCATGATTCGGCCACCAGGAAGCGGGGACATGACACTGCTGTGTGTCCCAGGACACTGAGGCGTATGTCTGGGAGTCTGGTTTACTTGGCCTCTGAGCCTATCTTCTCATCTTTGAAAGGCGGCTAATACCTACTTTGGTAGTAGAAAGGATGAAATGACATGCACCTGGCCTCTGGCTTAGGGGATGGTGGTTGTTACTCAGAGTTCCTTTTTAAAAGGTGGCCAGCAGCAAGCATTCAGAAAAGCATGGCGAGCTGGAACAATCAGAGGTCAACCAGCGTGACCTGTGTGGGCGACCCTGTAGCGGGGGTGGATGATGCATGGCCTTCACAGTCCTGAAAGCTGTGACTGTGGCTCAGCCTCTGAGGCCACCTAGGGCTGGTGTCTGTGATCGTGGCCCTCTGACCTCAAGAACAAAGGCAGGGGTTTGGCCTACAAAGTAACTGACGCAGTCTTCCCTCTCACACTGAGAACCCCACCTGAAACTCACCTGTGCAGTGGCCTGACAGCGGTGCCTCCCCCGGCCAGGGGACTCCTGTTGGGTGGTGTCCTCTGGGCGCACTGAGGTCTCCTCCTCCATAATGCTGTCCTTCCTCCTCCCTACAGTACTGTTGATGGGTTGCCCTGGACAGAAGGCCACCCTGCCTGGAGCTGAGGATGACCTTGCTGTGCTGAATGACGGAACAGGACAGGTAAAACACTAGATTGGGAGGAAGCTGCATCGCCCTGCAGTGGCCCGCATCTGGGGTCAGATATGGATCTAGAGAGCGCTGTGCTCGCAGCCAGCCAGCAGGGGTGCCGGAGAGCCAGGCCAGCAGGCAGAGGACCAGTGCGTGAGGACCATGCCCTTCATCCCTGGGACTCCTGTCCACCGTCCTTTCCTTCTTTCCCTTACCCCAGGTTAAGGTGATTCTAACACAAAACCGCCAGCTTCAGAGCTGTTGGGCTATTTCTTTAATTTTCTAAATAGCTGTTACATCCACATGGACAAAAGTTTAAAAATATTAAGAAGTTATACAGTGAATAATCTTCCCTTATTTCTCCCATCTGACTAATGTCCTCTCCTCCCCTCTAAGAAACTGTTAGCCGGTTTCTTCCATAGTTTGTGTAACTATACACATTATAGGTGACGTATTTTATATATATATGTATATTTCATATATATCTTATATGTAAAAGTTCTATTATCTACATATGCACCTTCTTTATGCACTTAACAATATATCTGTATAATGCCCACCCCACAGATAACAAATGTTACTAGTTTCTTCTGTGTCTCCAAGACTTTGTGTATAAGCAAATGTAAGTATATGGTCTTATGGTGCTGTCCTTTTACATCAACAGCAGAATAGTGCCTGGCATGTATCAACTACATATGTGTTAAATAAATTAAAGATTTATTTATTTTCGCATTCAGAATTGGGGTACAAGCCAGAGGGGCAGGGGCAGTGAGAGGATTCACCAGAGACAGAGTGGGGAGCAGAACAGGGAGATCGATGAAGTTCACTGCTGAGGGGAGCAGCGGGCAGGTCAGGAGAGGTCTGTCGCGCCATGTGGGTCACCTCCGGGGCTGGGAGTCGAACTTGGCATTGAGGTGGCTGCGGCTCACTTGCACTGCAGCATCCTAACCCATTGTGCCACCAGGGAGGGCCCTACCAAGCTATATATTAAGATACTATGTACCTTGTTCTCATGCAGTAGAATCTAGCAAAGATCAGTACAGGAGAGCATCCTCGTTTTCAGAGTTGTGTGCTACTCACCCGCTGGGTGTACCCTAGCACGCTTACTTGGTCCTCTGTAAGTGAACATGTAGAGGTTTCTAAGTTTCCTTTTGCAATAGACCCATGTTCTCTCCTCTCACCCTTAACTCCTGCATGCGAGAGGATTTGGGTATGTTCCAGCCCTTTGCACATCTGTATTAACAGACTTTCTCTCCTTGCAGGAAAGAAAGGCATTGACAACCTCTCCATTCAGCCGTATCTTACGAAGACGCAAGAGAGAGTGGGTGGTACCACCAATATCTGTCCCTGAAAATGGCAAGGGCCCTTTTCCTCAGAGGCTGAATCAGGTATGTCTGTGTCTTCCTGTGCTGCTTGGTGGGTTCAGGGACCCTCATTCAAAGGCCTGAATATGAGGTTTCTTCCTAATGAGCACTGGGACTGCAGAGGAAACCTTCATGGTAGAGGCAGGTTCTGATAGGCCAGACCTTCCCCCCTCTCCCCATAGAAGATTCTTTGCTAAGATCCTGAGATGTTGCACACTTTTTCTTTTTTTGCTTCCAGCTCAAATCCAATAAGGACAGAGGCACCAAGATTTTCTATAGCATCACAGGACCTGGGGCAGACAGCCCCCCCGAGGGTGTCTTCACCATAGAGAAGGAAACAGGCTGGTTGTTGTTAAATAAACCCCTGGACCGGGAGCAGATTGCCAAGTATGAGGCACGTATCCAACAAGAAGCGGGACGCCCAGACCTGGCGGGGTGGGTTGCACCAGGCTAACGCCAGACCTGTTGCCCACAGCTCTTCGGCCACGCTGTGTCAGAGAATGGGGCCTCCGTAGAAGACCCCATGAACATCTCCGTCATTGTGACAGACCAGAATGACCATAAGCCCAAGTTCACCCAGGACGTCTTCAGAGGGAGCGTCTTGGAGGGGGTATTACCCGGTAAGAGTACTGGGGCAGGGCCTCTTGTAGATCTGCTGGGCATAGCCCTGGCCTTGGGTCAACTTCTGGAATCATTTCGAGGTGAGCTCACTCCCTTAAGAGCTGGAAAATGCCCCACTCCTGATTTCCTTGGCTGTGTGTACCCAGCAGTCTCCTTTCATACTCCAACCCTGCCTCAGTGATTCTGGAGTAGAGTCTGGAGTCTGAATGCTTGGCGCTTCCAGAATGTTTTAACTGCTCATCCTGGAGCTGCAGAGAGCTACATTTGAATCTTGATTTTGTCTTCTTACCTGCTGCAACCCTGGGCAAGTTCTTGCCCACTGAGCCTCCATCTTTTCCTCTGAGAGGGAGTTGTGAAAAAGTAGAAGCAGCACAGCAGGCTGTTATGTTAAGATGAGTCCCCACTCCTCTCATCCTCCCATCCCCCCACCACACACACACATACACACATGCACGCACGCACGCACGGTTTCCCATGAATGGCAGCTGCAAGGGAAGCAGGTGTTAGAAGTTGGTTTATGAGGAATGGAAAGTAAATTGCCAGAACTGGAAAACAGGGTGAGAGGAGCCCTCAGAAGGATGGGGAAAGAGCTGCATGTCAGTCACCTTGAAGACAGATGGCCAGGGCTGCACTGGGAAGAGGCCGCCTCCTCTGTGTTGTGAAGAATTGGAGAAGTGTGACTTTCAGAAACTCTCAAGCAGAAAGCAGTACTTTAAATGAGATGGGCTCTTTTTGTCCTTACTTTCAATAAGGCTTGAGACGCTCAACCCGGGCTGGAGTGATGCTTGGACACGTTATGGACCTGGGTCCTTGCATCTTGCTGCTTGTCCTGAGATTCCCTCCTCTCACTGCCGGTGCTCCAGCCCCTAGATCTGGAAGGAGGGAGAAGAGTGGGACAAATAAATCCCATATCATAGAAAAACACTTCCTTCCAACATGGTAGCCCATGGTCAGAATTTAGTCTCATGGCCACAGCTCCTTGCAAGAAGGGGTGGAAAATAACCTTAGTTCCAAGTAGGCCTTTGTTCTGCCTAAAATGACAAGGAGTATGTTCCTAAGAAAGAAGGGGAGCTTCTCCCTGGTGGTGCAGGGGGTTAAAGTGCAGCACTATGAAGCTATTGGCAGCCACTGCAACAGGAGTTCAATCCCCAGGCAGGGAGCTGACCCACATGGCGCAGCAGACCTCTCTTGTCTAACCTGCTGCTCCCCTCAGCAGTGCATTCCAGTCAATCTGCCTATTCTGTGTCCCACTCTGTCTCTGTTGAATGCTCTCACCACCACTATTGGCTTGTACCCCGGTTCTTTAACCCGCTGCACCACCACGGAGGGCCTGGGAATGTTTTTCACCTCCACCCACTGCTCACCCGCCACCAGCAAGAACAGAAACGAGGGAGCAGAGGGTGGTCTACGGAGAGTGGTCTGCAGGTTCAGACAGTTCTCTTGGAGTGTGGGGGAGCCCAGGCACTGACCTTGCCCTTCCCCCCGCCTGACCCAGAATGGGAGCTTCCTGAGGGGCTTCCTGAGGGGATCTGGGCGAAGGTATTAATTAGGAGACAGGCAGCACGCCTAATATCCACGGAAGTACTTCCACTTTGTGGCTCCTCCCCAACCCCCGCACGATTGGCCTGTACCCCAGTTCTTGTGTGCATAAATCTTTTTTTCTTCTTTTGTTTGAAGAAAGAATGGGAGAATGGAAACTGAGCACCTACTGTCCACCAGTGGCACAGTGAAAGAAGGGTCAGAGCAGCTGAGTGGCTGGAGGCACTCAGAGTTCCCGAAGTGACCGGGACTGCACTGGGAGCTCACTTCTCCCTCCTCCCTCCAGGCACTTCTGTGATGCAGGTGACAGCCACAGACGAGGACGATGCTGTCAACACCTACAATGGGGTGGTCGCTTACTCCATCCACAGTCAGGAGCCAAAGGACCCGCACGACCTCATGTTCACAGTTCATCGGAGCACCGGCACCATCAGCGTCATCTCTAGTGGCCTTGACCGGGAGGTAAGTGGCCCCTGGGGAGAACGTTGCCTAACTAGGTTTGCATAGGCTGAAGCCTTGTGCTCAGGGCGGAAGTCCCTGTCTCCCCAAACCCCAAGGGGCGCTCTGGTGGCTGCTCCCTTCCCGAGTCGCGTGGCTGCCCGCTGCTCCCTTGGGCCAGTGGCCCGCTGCCAAACGGTCTCGTTCAGGCTGGAGAGGCAGCTGTAAACTGCAGACATTCGATATTTCCCGAAGCTTTCCTCATTTCCTCTTGGAACGGCTCACTTAGCATGAACATCGCCCACATCTCTCCCTCGTGAGCCACAAAGTGGAAGTAGTTCTGTGGATATTAGGCGTGCTGCCTGTCTCCTAGTTAATACCTTCGCCCAGATCCCCTCAGGAAGCCCCTCAGGAAGCTCCCATTCTGGGTCAGGCTGGGGGAGGGGCGAGGAGGTCAGTGCCTGGGCTCCCCCACACTCCATGAGAACTGTCTGAACCTGCAGACCACTCTCCGTAGACCACCCTCTGCTCCCTCGTTTCTGTTCTTGCTGGTTGCGGGTGAGCAGTGGGTGGAGGTGGGAAACATTCCCGGGCCCTCCCTGGTGGTTCAGTGGGTTAGAGCACAGCACTGAGAAGCTAAAGCCACTGCAGCATGAATTCGATCCCCGCTTGCCCCGGAGGTGATGCACATGGCGCAGCAGACCTCTCCTGACCCGCCCGCTGCTCCCCTCAGCAGTGTTACTTCATCAGTCAGCCTGTGCTGCTCCCCACTCTGTCTCTGGTGAATCCTCTCACTGCCCCTGCACCTCTGGCCTGTACCCCAGTTCTATATGCACAAACAAATCTTTAAAAAAACAAACAAAAAACATTCCTGCCTTCTACTCACACCCTAGTTGTGCCTCTGAGATCCCAGGCTGAGGGGCCTTCACACGGGACCCACGGAGGCCTCCCACACTACTTTCTCTGCAGAGAGTCCCTGAGTACACGCTGACTGTCCAGGCTGCAGACATGGACGGGGACGGCTCCATCACCACAGCAGTGGCCATAGTGGAAATCGTTGATGCCAATGACAATGCCCCTGTGTTTGACCCCCAAGAGGTAATTGCCCCTTCCCTCATCAGAGATGAAGGGCTAAGGTATTTCCTGTCCGCTGAGACTCAACGCCAGCTTGTGTTGCTCAAGCCCATTCCTACCACCGCCTAGCTGTGTGACCTTAGGCACACTGCCTAACCTCTCTGTGCCCCTTACCTATCCAGAGATGGAGATGACCGTTACCACTGGTTTTTGCACTTTTAGGTTAAAAAGAAAAAAATCTGTGTACATAGTACCTCATAAGTGCCAGATAAGAAAATCTTGGCTTGGGATGAAAAGTTCAGCACCATCAGGGCCTGTCAAGATGACTCTTCCCTGTCCCTTCTCCCTGCAGACAACTCTTACTACTGTGGGACATTGCTCAGGGCGGGTTTGTTCTGAGTCGTTGATTTCTCAGTCTTTGCCGCCTGTTTCAGGACTGTCAGAAAAGTCCGTGGTGAGGCCCCCAGAGTGGTCAGCGCCTGGCCCTCTCTGCCACGCTCCGTAGACCTTTCCCATCAACCACCGGGTGGTCACCCTTGACGAGGGTGAGGGTACTCTGATGGGCGGGCCTCTGGTGGTGTGGAAAGTAGGCCCAAGAGCAGCATGACCTGTCCAGCAGCAGTGTGGCTGACTGTTGGGGTGTTCCGCGCTTGAGTATACCCCAAAAACCTGAGAAGTAAGTTAGCAGGTCCTGGCAATGGGAAGGACTCGGACTGCCTGGGCTGGAGAGCGGATTCCCAGATGTTGAAGAGCCGGGCAGTGTTCCGGCCAGTCTGCGTCCCTGCTCTGAGTGCGCTGCGCTTCCTCCCACACGACAGTACGAGGCCCACGTGCCTGAGAACACGGTGGGCCACGAGGTGCAGAGGCTGACAGTGACCGATCTGGATGCCCCCGACTCAGCGGCCTGGCGTGCCACCTACCGCGTGGTGGGAGGCGACGACGGGGACCATTTTGCTATCAGCACCCACTCTGAGAGCAACCAGGGCATCCTGACAACCAGGAAGGTGAGTAGGCTTGGGCTTCCCGAAAGGGCACCCCGGGAACAGTCAGATCTGCATCCTCCAGGATGAAGAGGTTCCACCTGCCTTGGGCTGTTTGCCAGGGATGTGCCAGGCCTGTGCCTGCCAACCTCAGCTCCCTCTTGTGGAGGGAAAGCCCTCTGTTGAGACGCATCTTACTCACAGGTCCAATAGGAAAAACAGAAGAGTCACTGATGTAGCCACAGAGCAGTGGAGGGAACCACCCCTCCCTGGGTCCTGTCGCTGCCCAAATCTGACCCTGCAGACCAGCTGTGGTACTGGAATTCTTGCTAATTTTATTTACTCCATGACACACACACAGGTGTTTGGCTAGTAGAATGTTTTACGTTATTTAATAGTGAGGTGTACATACCCTGTATTTCCAGAACATAAAGATTTATTTATTTATGCATACAAGAGCTGGAGTGTAGGCCAGAGGTGAGCGGATTCACCAGAGTGGGGAGCAGAACAGAGAGATCCATTGAAATACACTGCTGAGGGGAGCAGTGGGTGAGACAGGAGAGGTCTGCTGTGCCGTGTGGGTCAGCTCCCTAGCCGGGGATAGAACTCAGGCTGCAACGCTGGTAGCATGATAGTGCTGAGACTAACCCATAGGCCACCAGGGAGGTGGCCTATTTAATACATCTTAAAAATACTCTAAAAATGTGACGCACCCTCTCTGATGCACAGGGTTAAAGTCTCAGTGCTGTGGAGCTATTGGCCACTGCTGCAGCCTGAGTCCAATCCCCAGCCAGGGAGCTGACCCACATGGCGCAGCAGACCTCTCCTGTCTCACCCACTGACCCCTCAGCAGAGTATTTCAGCAGAGTATTTCAGCAGAGCTCCCTGTTCTGCCCCTGCTCTGTCTCTGGTGAATCCTCTTACCCCCAACTCCCAACCCCCGCATCTCTGGCCTACACTACACCCCAGTTCTTGTGTGCATAAATAACAATAAAAAATGTGATGCAGAGTATATTTTTAAAAATTACACTTTTAAGAGATTCTTCACAGCCATGGATGCATGGATGCCCAAGGAGATATTGGCACACCTCAGACTGTGGGAGAGTTCTTTACACCACTGCCTGAAAATGTCAGTGGCATCCTATCCCCAACTTGGGCAATGCCTCCCAAGTCTGAAACACCCTCTGGGGGCTGTCCCCTCCCCGTTGGGATGACTCGTCTAGTTGCCCTTGAGGCGGACAGAGAGGCCCCCTGGATGTCCACTCAGGAAGTGCGGGGCAGCATGATTGCTGGTGGGAGGCCGAGCCCCCCTGACCCTTTGACCCACAGCACAGCCTGGCGCTCCTCACAAAATGGCCTTCACTCCTCTTCTGCTTGCCCAGGGTTTGGACTTTGAGGCCCAAAACCAGTATACCCTGTACATTGAGGTGACCAATCAAGTTCCATTCGCGGTAAAGCTCCCCACCTCCACGGCCACCGTAGTAGTCCTTGTGGATGATGTCAATGAGGCGCCCGAGTTCGTCCCCCCCTCCAGAGGCATCGCGGTCCAGGAGGGTATCTCCGTGGGGACGTCCGTCTGCACCTACACCGCACAGGACCCCGACGAGGGCTCTCAGAAGATCAGGTACTGGCACGGGCTCACGCTGGGCCCACTGCGCTGGCCCTGTCACGCAGGTGGTCTGTGATGACCAGCATGTATGTCTGTACCCTCAGGATCATAATCTAAGTATTTTGGCATCACCCCGCACGGGTTCCCCTCTTGTCCTCCCTCCCCAAACTGGAGACCGAGCAAAGCCAGGTGTAGGCGTTCTGCTCCCTCTCGTTTTCCATGAGATTCTGCCTAGGAGCCCCCAGTCCCATCTTCCACTTGGCTCAAGGAGGCTTGGAATGAACAGCAGAATTCTTTGGTTGTGAGTCTTCTCCCGCTTCCTTCTCAGTTACCACATCCTGAGAGACCCAGCAGGGTGGCTAGAGATGGACCCAGATAGTGGGCAGGTCACTGCGGCTGGAGTCTTGGACCGTGAGGATGAGCGCTTCGTGAGAAACGACATCTATGAAGTTGTATTCTTGGCCACAGATGATGGTGAGAGCTTCCTCCCAGCCCCTCCACATGAATCCCAGGTCACATGACATAGCACTTTCTCTCCATAGGCAGAGAATGGTGTGTGTGGGTGGGGGGAGCTGGGAAGGAGGTCAGCAAACCCATCTGGAGGATCAAATGAGTTATTTACAGGAGTGTTTTTTAAAGACCTAGCGTGGCTGCCCATGAGTCCAGAATCCCTAAAAGTCCAGGTATTGAGAAATACCTGAAGCTCCTTTCAGCCTAAGTCTGTGTGTCTCTGAGCCCTGAATTGGCCTGCTTCCCCTTGGGGCTGCTTGAACAGGGCTGTCTAGAAACTGCCACAACTAATTGGTAGGGATTAGGAGGGATGTGATGTGGTTGCTTCTCTGCTGGATTCTTAGTAAACCCAGGCTGGGAGGCAGGAGAGAGGTTATGCAGGGTGGTAAAGGGCAGCTTCCTTGAAGCTCAACAGCAAACTGCTTTAGCTCTAGTGACCAATATTGGTTTTGTTGTGTAATAGCTGGGTAGTGAAATGGCAGTACATGAAGTGGCTGTAACTGTGCTATAATCAGCTAGTAATGTCTGCTCTGGACACAAAACGAGGATGATGGAGTGCGTGTCATGCATCCAACCATCTCTGGTTTTGTCCATAGTGAAGTTAGGTATAGAGGGCCCTAGGATTTCAGGTGGGCAGTGAACGAGACTGTCCTGGGGCCAAATGGGCTGTCACAAGGGAACTTAACCTTGATTCATCAAACCAGCCGAGGACTGACAAGGAGTCATTTGTGGAATTTTGTACAGGGAACCCTCCCACCACTGGAACGGGGACCCTCCTGTTAACACTTATTGACATCAATGACCACAGCCCGGTGCCCGAGCCCCTTGAGATCACTATCTGCAACCAAAACCCTGTGCTGCAAGTGCTGAACATCACCGACAAGGACCTGTCACCCCACACTTCCCCTTTCCAGGCCCGGCTCACACACGACTCTGACATTTACTGGACAGCAGAGGTCAGCGAGAAAGGTAACTCAATGGCAATGGGTGGGTGACAACTTGACTGGATGGGTGTCTCCCCAAAACAGGATCCTGCACATGTTCCTGCCACATTTGTGAGTGACTTTGTGGAGTTGGGGGGAGGGAGCGTGTCATTAAGAACATCACTCAGGTGCTCCTGTCATCTATAGAGAAGGCAGCATTGTGACATGAGAGCAGGGAGGGAGTGGGGTGTTGTGGGGGGAGATGCCCCACGTAGGCCCCTTTTCATGGTGGACCAGATAACCATTCTGCAGACCCCTCCTCTCCTGTCACTGAGCGGCAACAGTGGGTCCTCCCTTCTGGTCCTTTTTCTCAGGGGCCCAGAGCCTTTGAATTGAAAATGCCTCAAGGCATAGGGTGGGTGGGCTGGAAAAGTAGGGTTGTTTCTGATGGCCCTCAAGCCTGGGGACCCTACTGGCATCTGGCATGGAGAACACTCAGTCCTGCTGTGGAATGGTCCGCCCACACTGATAGCTCCCTCCTGGAGAAGCCAGGGTCTAACCTCAAGGACATTCTTCAGAGAGACTTGACCCTAGATTCCTCACCCAGCCCTGCTACCACCCATCTCAGGCCTTAGAAGGCCCAGTCCTTGCAGCCCTGTCTTCCAGCACCTGTCCCTGAACTAGCGTGCCCTCAGGTGCCATGAGACCACAGATTAGCGTGCTTCCGCCTACCAGCACCAGCTACGTAGCAGGTTGTGATGCATTGGGTTTATTAATAATACTGCATCCTCAGAAATAGGTTCTCATATCTAGAAATTCTCACACAGTTGAGGTATAGACATACTATAAGCATCATATAACGACTACAAGAGCAACATGACATGGTAACAGATGGCGGAGCACTTTGACATAGGAGAGCAGCAACCAGTTAGTGCGACTGTACCAAGCCCGGGGTCGCTGTCTCCTGGAAAACACAGTCTCTCTCCTTTCTGAGCCCAGAATGGCCGAGCAGCCAGCGGAACTGGAAAGTTCATATTAAAAACTACCGTGACTGTTGTATTTTTTTAAAGATTTATTTATTTATGCAAACAGAACTGGGGTACAGGCCAGAGGTGCAAGGGCGGTGAGAGGATTCACCAGAGACAGTGGGGAGCAGAACAGGCCGGCTGACAAAGTACACTGCTGAGGGGAGCAGCGGGCGGGTCAGGAGAGGTCTGCCGCATCACGTGGGTCAGCTCCCTGGCCGGGGGTCGAACTCATGCTGCAGTGACTGCAGATTCATAGTGCTGTGCTTTAATCTGTTGTGCCACCAGGGAGGGCCCATGACTATTGTATTTTTAAGAAGTAAAAGGGTGAATTTATTCTTTTAGCTCAATAATCCTTTTTCTGGTTACAAATTTGATGTTCACCAACTCTGAGTTTTTGATGCTCAGTGTTACTATGTTTGGGGACTTTCTCCCTCTCCCCTCAGACATCTGTTGTGGCCACAGTCCCCGCCACTGACAATTTCTCAGGTGAACAGATTCTCTCTTCCATCCAGGTGACTCTGTGGCCTTGTCCCTGAAGAAGTTCCTGAAGCAAGACACGTACGACGTGCACCTGTCTCTGTCAGACCACGGTGACAGGGAGCAGCTGACGGTGATCAGGGCGACCGTGTGTGACTGCCACGGCCACGTGGAGACCTGCCCCGAGCCCTGGAAGGGCGGCTTCCTCCTGCCCGTGCTGGGGGCTGTCCTGGCCCTGCTGCGTGAGTCCAGCACCCTTCCCTGCCTGCCAGCGATCGGGTAGTTAGAAGACATGGTTCTGCCCTCACCTTTGGGGACCACGGAACCACTAAAGTGGCCCCCTTTGTTCCCCGAGCTTGTTGGAGTGCCATTCAGTAGTGGAGCTTCTGGAATGTGCGAGACTTGGGGACACTATGGTCAGCAAACAGCATTGGCCCTGTCCTCCGTGTCATCTAAGTACAGAGCAGGGGCTCTGAAGGTGAGGTCTCGAGACCACCAGGATCGGCTTTCCTGGGAATGTGTTGGAAAGGCCAGTTCTCAGGGCCCTACTGATCTACTGATGAGAACTTTGGGGGTGAGAGCCAGTCATTTCTATTTTAAGAGAGCCTCTCAAGGGTTCTGAAGCTGACTGGAATTTGAGAACCACTGGTCTGGTGGGCAACAGTTGTTTTTTGGTTTTGTTTTTTTTTTTTAAGATTTATTTTATTTACGCATATAAGGACTGGGGTATAGGCCAGAGATGCAGGGGGTGAGGAGATTCACCAGAGATAGAGTGGGGAGCAGAGCAGGCAGATCCATTGAAATACGCTGCTAAGGGGAGCAGCGGGTGAGACACCCGCTGCTGTACCGTGTGGGTCAGCTCCCTGGCCGAGGATCGAACTCATCCTGCAGTGGCTGCTGACAGCTTCATAGTGCTGAAGGTTTAACCCCTTGTGCCACCAGGGAAGCACTAGGCTGTAGTATTTCCTTTGTGGCCTTCCCTGGTGTCGCAGCGGTTAAAGCACAGCACTAAGAAGCTTAAGCCACTTCCGCATGAGTTCGATTCCCGCCTGCCCCGGAGGAGATCCACATGGCGCGGCAGACCTCTCCTGACCCGCCCGCTGCTCCCCTCAGCAGTGTACTTTGTTGATCTGCCTGTTCTGCTCCCTGTTCTGTCTCTGGTGAATCCTCACACCCTCCTCATCTCTGGTCTATACCCCAGTTCTATATGAATAAATAAATCTTTAAAAAAAATACATAATGTTTAAAAAAAATCTATTTCCTGTGCTCTAAAGATAGAACCTATTATTTCCTCCACTCATTGGTATGTGCACAGAAAACACATTTGATCAGATAGGAATACTACGAATTATTTAGTGCACCAAGCACTATTTTGGGGTTCATTATTTTGCAAAATAGACCTATTCTATTCCTCCCCTTATGGAATTTACTTTCCATTGAAGGAGAGAAAAAGGAAGTGTGGGGAGGATGGGGTGTTAATAAGGGGAAGGAGATCTGCAGCTTTTAAGTCAGGAAGGCCTTCCTGGGAAGGGGATTTTGAGTGGACCTGCAGGAGGTGAGGAAGCAAAGACCCTGAGGCGGTTTTGTGTTTGGTGTGGGAAACAGCCATGACTGGAGTGGAAAAGACAGGAGATGAAGTCAGAGAGGTGAGGGCTGTGCAGAGCATCATGTTGGGCTTGGAGAGCTGTTGTGAGAACTCTGGGTGAAACAGGACATCAGGTACGGAGCAGAAGAGTGAGGAGGCTTGACTGTACTTCTGCAGGACTCCCGCTAAGTAGAGTGCAGAGGGGAAGACCATTGAGGAGCTGTTGCCATGGTTGGGTGGGGGGAAGGTAGGCGGCCACTTAGACCAAGATGGAGTTGGTAGTGAGAGGTGCTCCTGTCTCAGGTAAAACCTGTTGGGTTGATCTATGGTGGGAGGGAGAGAGTTGTCAGTGAGTCTGAGGCCTGAGCAAGTAGAAACATGGGGCTTTCGTTAGCTCGTTGGGGGAGGGCCATGGGGAGAGATTTACTGGGCAGGCAGACCCATGGAGGTACCAGTAGGCAGTTAGACACATAAGCTTTGGGTGCCTTTCCCCAGAACAGTGGGATGCAAGGGAACGAGTGGGGTTACACTCTAGACCACATGGGCTGTGCATCTTGAGAACCCGTTGATCCCAAAGAAGGTTTGGTCTGTTTTGGCTGGCTAGAGAGACCACGGCTCCATGAGCAGGCCAAGAAAGTGAGAGCAACACAGTTCAGTGTCCTTCTGTTCCACAGCCACAGAGCGTGCCGAGACGCCTCTTCGCGTGGGATGAGCCGGTGGTGGTCCTGGCATTTGGGGAGGGCAGCCATCAGCTGTCGGCCAGCCTCCTTGGGTACCAGGCTTTCCATCCATGTCCCTAAAGCCAGTCCTTTGTTCAGTTTGCATCTGATTATTGCACTCTCTGGCCTTTAACTTAAAATCTAAGGCTAATTTAGGGGCCGCTTGACGACTAGCGTCTGCTTGCGAAGTGACATGTGGGAGAGTCCCATCCCAACAGGGCGGCCTTCCTTCAGGAAGAGTGATGGGAAATGATCAGGAACCACAGGGATGGGGTAGAGGGGAGGGGAGAGGCGTCCCAAGCTGCGGGGAAGGTGGCTTGAGCTAAGGAGAGTGTGGGGGGCGGGGTGTGCCCTAGGTGAGGCAGGAGCCCGGGGGAAGAAAGTACCTGTGGTGGGAGCCACGAGGTGTGGCTCTGTGGCCCCTTGGGGGACAGGAGTCAGGTGCTGGGCCGGGCCAGCCGAGTCCTCTGCCCCTCTGGGAGCTGGGCGTTCTCGAGGTGAAGGGAAGTGAGGGAGGCATGTTGAGCTCTTGGCTAGAGTGCTGGGGTGTAGGTTAGAGGGGTGCTGGGCACTTGGGCTGTGCACTAGCCGTGGCTGACGGACTCGCACTCCTGTCTCTTCAGTCCTCTTGCTGGTGCTGCTCTTCTTGGTGAGAAAGAAACGGAAGGTCAAGGAGCCGCTTCTGCTCCCAGAAGATGACACCCGGGACAACGTCTTCTACTACGGCGAGGAGGGAGGTGGCGAGGAGGACCAGGTCTGCCCGGGGGAGGTCTGGGAGGGGAGGGCAGGGGGCCCCCCCGGGCCCTGGCAGGGACGTGCGCGTTTACACCAGCATGTCGGCTATGTTGACTGGACCTGACCGGAGGCCTCGGTCTTCATGCATGCCCGACTCTGCTGAGGGGATGTCTGGTCCATTGCCTGCTCTCTGACCCCAGCCAAGGTCACTTTGAGGCTGCACTTAATTTGGCAGAGGGGGGTGTAGCAACTGGGGCTTCAGAAATCTGGCTTTATTTGGCCCGTGAGCCAGACCAGCCACATGTTGGGGAGAGTGGGGTGGAGTGTAAATGGTGAGGACGTCCTGAGTCCCACGCCCTCCTTCACCTGCACGCAGGACTATGACATCACCCAGCTCCACCGTGGCCTGGAGGCCCGGCCCGAGGTAATCCTCCGCAACGACGTGGCACCCACCTTCATCCCCACGCCCCTGTACCGCCCGCGTCCAGCCAACCCTGATGAGATCGGGAATTTCATCATCGAGGTAAGGGTGGGCAGCAGGCGGCCAGGGGGGCTGGGGAGGAAGCCCCTGGGCGCAGGGTGTTGGGCTGGTTCAGAGCCAGCCCCGTCCCCACCGCTATGTGAGAGGGACTTTGGGGCTTCTGTTTCCTCCTGCCTCAAGCCCTAACTTGCGAGTGGCTAAGAAAGGGTGCGGGATAATTCTTTACTTTTGCGATAAGTATAGCAGTTACTGGGAGAGCAGGAGCCTGATGCCCTGGGTTTGAAGTTGTAAAGATCCCAGGTGACTGCAGCGGGAGCCAAGGCTGGCCCCTCCGTTACAGGCTGGAGGGTGGGGTGAGAAGCCCCTGGAACAGGCTGGCATGCCTGCACATCGCAGTCTCCTGGGGGGGGCTTGAGCTGAGGATGCCTCCGACTCACCCCTGAGATTGAGATTTAATGGGTGTGGATGTGGCCCGACTTCAGAATGTTCGAGAGATTCCCAAGTGGTTTAAGTTTGGGACGCACTGGCCGATTCCCTCGTAATTGCTGGGGAGTTACTGCTGTTGTGGATAGCTGGCCCCTCACACTTTTGACTTCTCTGAGGAATTTTGATTCATGCCAATGCCTGGGGTCCAGACATCCAGGATTTTGCTCTCCAAGGGACTCTCACCGCCTGGGCTGTGAGGACCACCAAAGTGAGTATGTAGGAGACAGTTTATGAAGAGGAAGGGTGACGCCTGCCTACAGCGTGGCTGGATTGGGGCAGGAGGCTTGAGGGGCAGTCACGATCCCACACTGGGGTTCAAGTTCTCCTGCCTGAGCTTTCCTTTCTGCAGAGAGGGAGGCTGAACAGCTCACCCTTTTTGCCTTCTAGAATAGTGAGGCTCTGTTCTTGTGCCTGAGCGCTGAGCGTGTAGGCAAGACAACAGCGTGTGGGAGACAGCACAGGGCGGCTGGTTTGAGAAGATGCCTGCCCCTCAGTGCCTGGAGCGTGTTCCTCCAGTTTGTTGAAGACACCCCCAGAATGTCTGTGTGCGAGCAGCTGGCAAACACTGTCTTCCCCGGCGGCCCGGCAGGGTACGGACACAGCCGTTGCCCTCGGGTTACACATGGGAAGACAGTGTCCCAGTGTGCCACGCATTGCTCTGATCAGGCTTCCCAGTTGTTACTTGTGTTCATTTATTCCTCTAAAAGTGTGAAGACTCCTCTCAGAGATGAGGGGGAAAACGCAGAGGCTCAGGGCTTGCCCACCATCACAGAGCCAGAGTGTGAGGCCTGTTCCGGGCCCCGCCCCTGACCACGGGCCTTTGTTGGGGGGGGGGGGGACTTGCTGCATGCCTGCTCTGCAGAGGTTTCCAGCTGGCCCTGGAACAGCCTGGGTTTGAACTTCAGGGGTCCGTCTACACCTGGATTTTCTTGTAAAACAGTGATAGAAAGTTGCAGTATAGATTAATCAGGTAGAGTTCCTTAGGGTTTTCTTCATCACGTTTTCTTTTCTCTAGCTGACTTTATTGTCAGACTGCACTAGATAAAACATGCCACAATGCCTGTGAGTTAAGCGACGGCTTATGTTCTGGTAAGGATCCCGGCCAGCGGCAGGCTGGGAGTAATAGTTTGCAGGGAGTCCAAAACTGGGGAGGGGTCGAGGCCCCACCCCTAGCTGTTCAGGGCCAGCTGTGCGGGCCTGACTCCCTCCGCCTTCCAAGCCCCAAGGGAGAGAAGGACGGTGTCGCAGAGGAGGACGAGGCCGTGCAGGCCGGCCAGGTGCGCACGCCCACGCCCACCCGCAGCACCTAACCACCTGCTCTCTGCCGCCACAGAACCTGAAGGCGGCTAACACAGACCCCACCGCGCCTCCCTACGACTCCCTGCTGGTGTTTGACTACGAGGGCAGCGGCTCGGACGCCGCCTCCCTGAGCTCCCTCACCTCCTCGGACCAGGACCAGGACCAGGACTACGACTACCTGAACGAGTGGGGCAGCCGCTTCAAGAAGCTGGCCGACATGTACGGGGGCGGTGAGGACGACTAGCCTGACGTCACAGGCCGCGGCCACTTCTCCCAGGCGTCTCAGTCCCACCTCAGCCAGGTGCTTTGGAGGTGGTCGAGAATGGCTTCAGCGGCCCGAAGGGGAGAGACCTCGAGTCGGACGATGACAGGCCGGTTTCTGAGCCTTTGGGGACAGAGTGACGTGGGCCGTTTGCTTTCAACGCTGAAAACCTCTCAGCCCAGTCAGGTTGCTCTGGAAGCAGCATTTCTAGATCCGTCTCATCTGCCATAAATTGTGCTGCCCTGTGGCCTGGGCCCAGACTGATGTTGACTCTTCCCGTGATGATGTTCTTCTGGAATGGACCCTTTTGTTTAGAAAAAAAGGTCTCTTGTTGTAACCTGATTTTCTTTTTTTTTAATTCTTAAAAAGTTAGAGGCTGGGCCTCAGCCATGCCCCGGAGGCCTCCAGGAGCCAGCCTGGGCTGCTGTGCATGGAGCCCTCACCGGGCGTCTCCAGGCCTGAGGCCCCGCGGTGGAATGGAGCCCAGCGTTTTTTATATTGAGCGCGTCTAGTTTGTTCTTTATTTTTTATTTTCCCTTTTAAGTGTAGGTGACGAGTGATGACAATCGTGTAAATGTACTAGAACCTTTTTTATTAAAGGAACTTTTCCTAGAGGTGCCAGGGGTGTGAACGCTTTCTGACATAATTCACACACTAACCCACATACCCGTTTTAGCTGTGCGGCTCTGGACTTCAGGGTTTTCAGCTGAATGGGGGATGAGCTCCTTTGCCCTGCCAACCTTCCCCAGCTTTCTCCCAGCTCTCGGGGAAGCTCAGGATTCATTTATGACTGGGGTTGGGGCAGGGCGCGTGCCCTCCTCCCTACAAATTCCCAACTGCCCTTCTCTGTGTGAAGACCGTTGGCCTCCGTGCTGGGGCTGAGCTCACCCCCAGAGCTGCAGGCCACGTCCTTTCTGGAAGTGTGACGGCTGTCGTGGGTGTGGTACTGGGGACGCTCTCGAAAGGAAGGGGCGGGGTCCCGCGTCTGCGACTTCCCAGCTCGTCTCCTAACCTCTGTCTGCTGCCTTCAGGTTTTCTGTTTATTAAACATGAGCTTCTCTGGAGACTGCATTACAGCCAGCCTGGTAAGTGCCATTTGTGTTCGTTGGTAGCCATTTATTCAGGACTCTGGAGGACCAGACTGCTCTCCTGGTAAGCATCAGAATCAAGCCACGCAGAAAATTAGAGAGAACTCACCCAGTGAGTTTCCAGTTTTCACTGGAAAGCAGAACATTCCGAGCAACCCAGGGCCCGAGATAGGAACAAGGGTGAAGAGGCTACAGGGAGAAGAACCGCTCCATTTTTGCCTTTCTAGAGTGAAGTTTAAATTTCTCTTGACAATGGACCGAAAGAAAGGACTCCGAAGTGCGGCCCTAGGGACTGCTGAAGCTGAACTAAATGCGTCCTTCCTGTTAGTCTTTCGAGCAGAGGCATGGGGCAGCCCCTGGCCCCCGGCATCGGCTAGAAACTGCAGGCAGGACCCGGCAGTGTTTGAACGAGCCTTCCAGCGTCCATGCACCTGCAAGAGTGAGACCAGGGCTCTCCAGGAAGGACTGCAGATGTCCTGAAGCCTCAGCCCAGCTGGTGAAATCCAGGGAGAAGCAATAGGGTGAGAACCCTTCCCACCTGTCCTTGGTCTGTAGCATGTGAGCCACAGGTCAAGGCCTCCTCCCGCCCCTCACTCTGGCCTCTGCCCTCACTCCTGTCTCAGGTTCCCCCACACAGCCCTGCTGCTCTTACTGATGAGGTGGGAGGAGTGGGAATATGAGCCGGCAGGGCCCCGCTGTGCCCGCTCCCCTCTGTGAACCCGAAGCAAGCCTGAAGCCCTGTCTGTCTGCAGCTGAAACTAACAATAAAACCAAACTGCCTGGCGCACCTGAGGGGGGGTCGAGAAAAAGCTAGTGACCTTTCCTAGCTGTGCCTGGTCTCTGTGGATGAACCTAGATTCCGTTGGTGTGGAACCAGTCACCTCTGGGTGGTCTCGAAAGAGTGGCCCGGGTTCTGGTGAGGACAGGTAGTACATCTCTCCGTCCCTCTCCTCATCCTCTGCAGGATTCTGGTCTTCAGAAGTCAAAGTAATCACAGCTCATAAGCCACCAGCTCTAACTCCTCAGTGGACTTAACCGAGGTGGACTTAGGGAGGGGGACCCCTGAATGGTTTCTTGTGACTTAAATGTTGATTCTTCACATTTGACAGTTCAGCAGTCTGGTGTGTGGCCTTCCAGGCCCGTCCCCCTCACTGTCTCTCCATGTACCACATTCTTAGTGTTACATTTTTTTTTTTAAAGATTTATTTATCGGGGCCTCCCTGGTGGCGCAGCGGGTTAAAGCACTGCACCGAGAAGCAAAAGCCACTTCCGCATGAGTTCAATTCCCGCCTGCCCCGGAGGTGACCACATGGCGTGGCAGACCTCTCCTGACCCGCCCGCTGCTCCCCTCAGCAGTGTACTTCGTAGATCTGCCTGTTCTGCTCCCCACTCTGTCTCTGGTGAAGCCTTTCACCGCCCCTGAGCCTCTGGCCTATACCTCAGTTCTGTATAAATAAATAAATCTTTAAAAAAATAAAAAAAATAAAAAATAAAAAAGATTTATTTATCTATTCATACAGAACTGGTGTACAGGCAGAGATGCGGAGGGTGAGAGGATTCACCCGGTACAGAGCGGGGAGCAGAACAGGCAGATCGATGAAGTACACTGCTGAGGGGAGCAGCGGGCGGGTCAGGAGAGGTCTGCCTCGCCATGTGGTCACCTCCTGGGCAGGCGGGGATCGAACTCATGCGGAAGTGGCATTAGCTTCTTAGTGCTGTGCTTTAACCCACTGTGCCACCAGGGAGGGCCCACAATTTTTTTTTTTTTAAAGATTTTATTTATTTGTGCATACAGAGCTGGGGTACAGGTCCAGAGGCGCAGGGGTAGTGAGAGGATTCACCAGAGTAGGGAGCAGAACAGGCAGATGGACGAAGTACACTGCTGAGGGGAGCAGCAGGAGGGCCAGGAGAGGTCAGCTGCACCGTGTGGGCCAGCTTCCTGGCTGGAATCAAACTCTTGCTGAGCTGGCTGCTGCTAGCTAGCTTCATGCTGTGCTTTAACCCATTGCGCCACCAGGGAAGGCTCAGTATTACAACTTTTTATCAGAACATACAAGGCTGCGTGATATTCTCTGACATATGCTGTTCAGCGTTAGCGTTTATGGGATCTTGTCATCTGTGGGCACTAGTGATTCTGGCTTTTTGCTCTTAACAATGTCAAACTCCCTGGGCCTTGATCTCTGCAGGGGCTTCAAAGCCCCCGCTGACAGGACTGGCCTGGGGGAGAGTGGTCTTAGTCAGGGTCCAGAGTTCCCATTTCTGGGTAGAAAGGTCAGTCTAGGGTGAGGGGTTGCTGGAAGGACTGCTATCAACTCTAAGTAACTCCCCCTACCCCTGCTTTTAAAAGCTAAAATCTCAGCACCCTAGTCCAAAACAAGGATAAACTGAAATTTTGTTGGAAGAAAAGGTTGGGTACCCACCTCTGTGGCCTCATCCTGGTATTTCTCACTGAGTTCTAAATGCAGAACTCTTTACAAGTGACTCCCAATCCAATCCACGCTGTCCTGGTTCAGAGCGGAAAATGGTCCTTAACAGCAGGCCCGATCCCCCGCCTCCTCTTTGCCTTGTTGCCCACCTAATCCTTTTCCTTCCAAAGAGTCCCTGCAGATAGGAACTGTCTTCCCAGGTAAGCTTTGCCCAGGCTCTTGAGGGCCCTGGGAAGTGAAGGAGTAACTGAGGCCCAAATTCTTGGCCTCCTGGGCTAGCTACGGTTTTTCCTTGGTTTTTCCTTAACCAGGAGTGTGATTCCAAGGCGCTCGAGGACTTGCAGGTGTCCTGAAGTTTTCTGCATCTCTCAGGCCCTGCCTGACCCTGGCCCTCACAGGACCACAGGCAGGGGAATGATGTGGGATGGCCTGTCTGGGAGAGGCCCTGAGGTCAGCCAGGCCAGGCACTGCCTTGGGAAGGGTGAGTTGGCCACCCTGGGAAACCCACACCCCGACATCCAGTTCCAAACTATGGGGACTCAGAGCCAGCTCTTCTCTGGCTATAGGAGGCATACTTTATAGAGCACAAGCTCAGATTCCAGCAGTCAAGAAACTATTTAGACAGATCACTTAACTTTTTGGTGTCTTTTTTCTCATCTGTGAAATGGAAAGTAAATACTTCAATATTTTTAAAGTGCTTATTAGGGTGCCTGGCATACAAAGGCTGCCTAAGCGTTGTTGTTACCACTGATGGGTGTTGGGCGGCTAGAGGGCGAGTTGTGGCTCCTCCACACTCCACACAGCACCCTGGCTGAAATTGCACTTCACAGGGGTAGTCAGGCAGCAGCCACTTCAGAGGAAACGACTGATTTCCCCAACGGCCCTTCCTCTCGCGGCCAGCAGAGGGCCCCATTCAGCTGAGCCGCAGCGCAGCGCAGCGGGCGCGGCTCCCATCTTGGCCACCAGGGGGAGTCTGCGGACAGGGAAGGGCCGCCGTGCCGGCCAGGAAGTGCCCTGGACACTGCCATGATGATAGTGATGGCCGTGGCAGTCGTGTACACTGAGCAGTGACTGGCCTTGTCCTTTACGTGCCTGGAACTAGCTACATGTATTCTCCTCCTCACCACTTGGGGAGAGCAGTTTTACAATCCCCCTTTTCAGGAAATTAAGGGTCAACTACTAACAGTTACACAGAGCAAAGAAGTGGTAAAGAGTTTGAGGTCGCTTTGATTTCCACGTATAGACTCCTTACTGTGAAGACTAAGAAACTCTAGCTCTGATGGTGGTGTGGGGGGCAGCAAGCAGGCGTGGAAGAGGCTCTTCTGAGAGGGCAGAGGGGTACCCCCACCCCACAGAAATGGCCCTACCTGACCCCGAGGTCCCATACATAAGAGCCACAGCACTTTTAGCCACTTCTGCCTCCCCCACCACTCCTAAGTGGGGCTTCACCCTAGGGCCTTTCTAACTCTTCCACCTAACAGCTAATTACTGAGCAGGTGTTCTGTGCCAGGCACTGTTTAGTGATGGCAGGTAGAGATGCAGAAAACAGTTCACAATTCCAACCCTAATCTTTGGAGGGGCTCAGGGCAAAAATGTGTGTAACACCCATAGACCCTGAGTGTCGAGGTTGTAGACTTAAATGAGAACTACTCTGATCTTCCTACTTATAAACAAGTGCCTCTTGCAAGACCAGGTTGCATGACCAGGTTGTAATCCGGATTGTCGGACACCTGGAGCACGTGGCTGCCTCTGCAATCTTCCCCAGCCCAGAGCAGCAGCCTGTCCACTTCTGCCCCACCCAGGCTCCATCCTGAGATTCTTGTGTGTGTGTGTGTGCGCGCGCGCGTGCGCGCGCGCGTGCGTGCAGGCCTGTGTGGGTGTACACAGACTTCCGCCCACGTGTTGAGGCTCCACCCACTGATCCTGAACCTTCCAAAGACCAGCCCTTGACTCCAAGCATAAACCCTACAAGGGAGGGCTGTGCAGTTTGCCCTTAGGTAGACCTGGGGAGGCCCTGAAGGGCGATACTGGTGGTAAGCAAGATACAACTCCTTAGCTCCCAGAGAGGGCCGCAAAGGTCCTTCCTGCCCAGTC